CCAGCTTAGTGGTAGAGAACTCCTGAATTCAATACCCAATACTGTTAAAATAAAAAGTAAATAAGATAAATAAAACAGATGACTTAAGAGAATGAATTGAAAATGTCTTCTGTTTTCTGAAACAATTTTTTAACAATGGAATGACCTGTTCCTCAAAAATCTTCTGTAATTTTTATTTTATTTTTAAAATTTATTTTATCTGGGCCAGATATTTCCTTAGTGGGAAAATTTAACTGCTATTTCACATATTTTTTATTAAAAGCTTCCTTATTTAGGTAAATTGTATTTCTTTTAGGAGTTTATTTTGCCTAACTTCCAATTGTGCTGGCATAAAATTATAGTACTCTATTATCTTTCTAATCTGATCTATCTCTAGTTTTGTCCTTTTTATTCTCAGTGTTTATGCATTCTCTCTTTTCTCATCCACCTTACCAGGTTTGTCTACTTTTCTAGTCTTTTCAAAGAATCAACTTTTAGCTTTGGTCATTTCTCAAGTAGGCTCTAAAACTCATTTTATAACTCAATGGTCCCTACCTGTCCTTTAACATGACTATCTGATACAAAATCTTTTTCCTTAGTATAACCTGAATTCCAACACAGCTGACCTTATGGCTCAGGCTCTGCTTAACCAATTTCAGCTCTAAATTAGCTTTTCAGTTTAGCAAAAAACCCTTTTAAATGTAATGTTATTCCAGAATTCTATGACTAGGACATCTTCCTTATACTTTGCCTTATATTTATGCCTCTGTACAAGTGATTTTCCCCACCTAAAATATCTTTTATCTTTTTAGAAGCCAACAAAAATATTTGTAACTGATAATTTATACTGTTTTCATCAAGTTTTGTAAAACTACCACCACACACTACTGGTCTCTTTCCATCCTATGTTCCCATAAAATATTTACATTTGGATTACATTATCACAGAATAATATATTTTTTTAGGGGTGGGGCAAGAACTATGGATTGAACTCCGGGCTTCACACATGCTAGGCAAGAACTCTACAAGCCTTTTAAAAATTTATCTTGAGACAAATCTTGCTAAGTTGCCCTGGCTGGCCCCAAATTTACAATCATCCTGCCTCAACCTCCCAAATAGCTAGAATTACAGGCATATGCCACCATGCCTGTCTACGTAAGTAATTTTTATTCAATTTTACGATGTCCCAGGCACTATTTGAAATAAATATTACCTTATTTCTCATAGCAACCCTAGTAAGTATGATTATTTCCATTTTCCCAGATGGACATACACAGAAGTTATATAGTTACGTAGCTAGTAAGTAGCTGAACCTGGATTCAAATCTCTTAAGTCTATCTCTAGACCATGTGTTCTTGACCAATGAACTATGCTTCTTTCAATTGTTCTAATAATATTCTCCTAACCCTGGCCAAACCACAGGTTTATAGGGTCCCAGGCTACCATATTTCACCTCTTTAAGGGATACAAGTTTTCAAATTCTTGAGAAAGAAGCAACTTTGATGATTTAATATTTAATTTTTAATACAAAAACAATTTTTAGGCAAAACTAAGATGTACAGTCGTGCTCCACTCATTCTGTAATGACTGAATGTAATGGAAAAATGCCATGGATAGTTATATAAATGGCCCTTTATAAGAAGTGTCTTAGACATTTCACTATGGATAAATAAAAGCACAAAACTATAATTTTGGCATAAAACTTTATCTATGATGTTGCATTATAACCTACGTTTATCTTCTTGAGATCTGTGGTCCAGAAACCAAATGGCTTTTTTTTTTTTAAAAAAATATCTTTTAGTTCTCGGCGGACACAACAACTTTGTTGGTATGTGGTACTGAGGATCGAACCCGGGCCACACGCGCGCTACTGCTTGAGCCACATCCCCAGCCCCAGAAACCAAATGTTTATGACACCGGATTTAACATTACTTTAAGACCTAAAAGTTTTGAGGCCTGTCATTTTAGTGTTAACAGTTCAAACATAGGGGCTGGGGTTGTTGCTCAGTAATAGAGCACTTGCCTGACATGTGTGAGGCACTGGGTTAGATCCTCAGCACAATGTAAAAATAAATAAATACAATTTTAAAAATTGTCTATCCGCAACTAAAAAATATTTTTAAAAAGAGTTCAAACTTAAATAAAAAGCATGAATCTACTACTTAAAACAATGTTATAAGTGTAAGGCAATTCTGGAAAAAAAACCCCAAAACTACAAAACAGCTAAGACTGAGTATAATCAACTGAACACTGATTAAAAGTCTGAGTTAAAACCCAGTTACTATTTCACTGCAAGTGAGGAAAAGCCTGACACCAATTAAGGAGAGGTACTAAGCAAATAATTATAAAATACTAGATTCAGTGAATGTAAGATGCTAGTGATTGTTAGCAGCACTATTCTATTATTTTATCTCTCTCTAAAAAAGAATAAAAATAAAACCTGCACCATTTAAATTGTGATATGCTATCGACTGTTGGACACGTCCAGATTTCAAAAATGAGAAAAAAAAAAACAAAACCCTGGATTTTAGAACCAATGAAATATAATTTAAATCACTATTTAAAATAGTGATTTAAATATAATCAGGTATGAGGAGACCGAATTCAATTCAAGGCATACTAACATTCAATTCAAATAACATCATTAATTAAAGGGAATTAAGGACTGTGCCAAACATTCTACAACATAAAGCTGGCACATTTTCCTTCTCAAGGGTGCTCAAGAGTTGAGAAATTTAACACTCCTAAGAACTGTAGTAATAATAAATTTCAATCTGAAATATTCAGGCATTTTGAATGTAGTAATTTGATTCAACTGTATATTTATTCTAAAAAAAAACCACTCGTTTATGCAAACTGGCCAATGCAAAAATAAATAAATAAAAAAGTAAGACTTGGAAATCTAACCAACCAGTTTTGATAAATTTGCTAAATGGAAAATTATGTAATGACTACAAGTATAATCTGAAAGACTACACAGCACTATGGAAAAGTATGATTGTACTACTGCTATTAAAGAGAATAGTTCTGTCTTAGGGGGATATGATGAAGAATTTTATGGCAAAGAGTCTAGAATTTCCAATTTAATCTTAAAAGGGCTCAGAACAAACAAAAACATACAAACTAATATATATACTGTTCAAGCAAGTGGAACTAAACGTAAACAACTGATAAATATGTGTAATGGCTGTACAAAAACTTTACTATTCCTGCAACTACTACTACCCTAGTGGAAACTATATCAAAATAAAAAGTTACCAAAACATTTAGATTTGTGAACAAAAATGAAACACACACACACACACATAAAAAGCAATTTAAAAATGGAAAAGACTGTGGATGCTTTATTTTTGTTAATAAGTATCAAATAGTTTTCATAATATAGGCTGTGTTCCTTGGGGCCAGGAATGTTTTGGATTTCCAATATTTTCCCATTTTGTAATATTTGCATGTACATAATTTTCCCATTTTGTAATATTTGCATGTACATGTAATATTTGTGGATGACACCCAAGTCTAAAACCAAATTCATTTGTTTCATATACACCTTACAATATAGTTTTAAGGTAATTTTATACAATGTTCTTAGTGCATTTGCATTTTTTGGGGGGCTGCATAATAAATTTTATTTTATTGGTAGATAAATAATTATACATAACAGTAGGAAGTACATGTACATAATTTGATCAATCTCATTCCCCATCATTCCCCAATACCTTCTCTTCACCCTTTATCCCCAGATTTGTTCTGACTGATACCCATCATAAGAGGTCAGGTGTGGAATTTTCCATGTGTGGTATCATATTGGGGCTCAAAATGTTTCAGAGTCGGGGGAAGGGGAATGGGAAAGACAGTAGAATGATTCTGACAAAACTTTCCTTATGTTCATATATGAATATATAACCAGTGTAATTCCATATCACATACAACCACAAAAATGGGAAGTTGTACTCCATGTATACATGTCAAAATATATTCCACTGTCATGTATAACTAAAAATTTTTTAAAAAATTTTTAAAGTATGTGCTATATGAGTTTATAGTTGAAAGAAATTTTGATATTGGAGAGAGGAGTGAGTACTTAAATGTCCACAAAGAGTATGCAGTATCAATATTTATACATTAAAGTCTTTCTGAAATTTTAATATTTGGAGTTTAAATAAACACCTTTAAACAAAAAAAAGTATGAGTCTCATTTAAAAAGTTTACATGCTTAGTGAAAAGAACAATGATAAAAGAAACACTGTTGCTTAAATTTAGAAAATAAAATGCAGTCTATCCAACTATAATGGGGAATTACCATATGCAGGAAAACTATTTAGAGTAAACTTAATCAAAATATTCATACCTTTAATTGAGCCAAATAACAATCACCTGTAGTAAATATGTATTGATAATTTATATGACTATGGAATTAACTGATGGAGAAACTTTCAATACACTGAAATACCACTTTATCAGAAACATTTAATATATGTATGTTTAGGTTTCTCATGCTTCATAACATCAAATCAATTAACCATCTATTGAAAATGTAAAAGATGAAAACTTGCTATTTGGTCTAAATTCTACAATTCAAATTTAAGAAATCCCTCTGCATGTTTTCAGGCAGTATAGCACTATATACAAAGAAGCTTCCTGGAAAAGTTAATACATTTCCAAGACTATAAACTGTTGCATTTTAAACCTATATTGATATCCCTGAGTAAAATAAATGAATCAAATTAATATCACAAAACTAGTTGTTAGAAAGGAAAAACACAAACAGGATTACAAATAGAAAAAAAGAAATCACTCCATATCTGGGTTTCTGTTGAAAGAATAAGGCCACCTAGAATTTTTATGCTGAAGGAGATGAAGTCAAAATTCTACTAATTAAACACAAAAAATGAACAAATTTGCCCCCACAAAATACTGAGAAAATAAGCTATTAATTATACTTACTGAATGAATAAATCTTAAATTGATACTGATATCAAATCTATTATCTTAAAACAAACATCTTTATAAACATCACTTACCTTTTTATCTTCTTTTACTTTGTGGGTTTTCTTCTTCATCTTCTTTTCATCGACCTCCTGGTCAGAAGTGATTGCAGGATTATCAATACCACCTTTCCAAGTTTCAACAGGAGAAAGAAGTGGATCTTCTTCACTTCCACGATGTCTTCCTTTTCTTTTTGTTTTTGAAGTAGTGAAAGCCTCATCATCACTTGCATCTGAATGTGTTCTTCTATAATATGACTTGGCTTTACTAAACAAGGTTTTAGATTTATATTTATATTTAGAAGGCCTCCGTTCCCCATGACCTTTTGAGGTTCTATCAGAAAATCCATTTTCTTCATCTCCTTGTGTGTTATTTACAAATGAGTTTCGAATTTTAATAATTCGATTCTGACTATCATCTGGGACAACATAAATCTCATCAGAATAGCCCTTCTGTTTAAAAATTGTGTCAATGGGTTCTGCGTAGTTATCTGAAGAATCCATATCTTCAGGATGTGCCAAAGGCACCCGGGAGGTCTGTTTTCTTGGATTTTTACCAATACCAGCTTCAATTGTTTTTAAGAGATTTGGATCCAATTTTTTCACATTTGTCTTAGGTACAACTGGTTTAGGTTTAATAGGTGGAGGCACTTTATGGTTGCGTTCATGATCGTGACAGTTTGGAGTGCTATGAACAGGGTATTCATTTCCTTCCAAATCTAACCTGTATCTGGAACGGTCACTAGGTGTTGGAAGCAACTGTACATCATCCCCAATTGGACTATAAGGAGGTGGTGCTTCTGTATCATCATCTGAATCAGGGTAGTTGTTATAAGGAAAACAATCTCTGGGAGATGGTAGAAAAACATCTTCACTCTGATGTGTTGACTCCCTTGTATTATCAGACAAGTAAGAATTTTCTATCATATTTTTTTTCTCTAGAACATCACTAAAAAACAGAGTAAAGACCTCAGTTTGCCGATGATACTGAGATAAAGAATACAATGCTGTAAATTTAGCAGTGATCTCAGTTGCAATGTGTTCTCCTTCAGTCATTAATTCCTTGATAGCCTCATTTTCAAAAAAATCTGCTTGGCTGTCAGTAACTGCCACCAGTTGTACAGGAATGGTATCTTGAACTTCTGATAGAAATGCTCGAAGCATTCCCATTGATGCTTTCCGTTTAGCAGAGTAAACTAATATATACCCATGAACCAGTTCATCCTTCCTTACTCCAATTGAAGAGTGATATGACAATATTGTGATCTGTATTCGCCTCCTTTTTTCACCGATAATTTTATCAAGCATTAAGGAATTATTTTGTCCAGCTTGAGCAGCACTGCAAGAATGAGAATCAAGGAATGGTGAAAGAATAAGATCCACACTAAATGGATCACCACACATGGCACACATGACAATTCTCAAGTCAGCTTCTGATACATCCTTATTGGTGGGAACTGGGCTCACCACATCTAAATTCTGTTTAACTGATTCCAGTACTCCTCTTAGAGCTTGCTTTATTTGGGTTTCATTAAATTTACGAGGATATGTACCTGTAGGCACATCTACAAAAGGACACTGTAATTTGTTTGCCAATTGCTGCCCTTGGTGCCTGAGAATGGGAAGGTTCTTGCTAATGGAATCTCTCTGATTAGCCAGAATTAATGTAAATGGAAGATTAGCCATATATTTATCTTTTCTGATCTGGGAAGCTTCAGTTCTTATTTTTCCAATAAATTCCCCAATAAAACTCAGTGACTCAATGGAATTAAATACACAGAAGCACCCATGTGGTTTAAAGGCAGCAGTCCATAATTGACTCAAAATATAAGGCGATTTGGCATCAACTGGCCGAAGATCAAGTTCATAAATTTTTCCATCTAAGGCATATTCATCATCAGTGGACTGTGTCCTTATCTCATTTGCTAATTCTTGGGCAAGTCCATCTTTCCCTAAAATGAAAAGGTTAACTTTATCTATATTGGTACTATCATGATATAACCGTGAGCGGCCATGATCCAACTGCAAAAGACTACTAGCAAGTAACTGTTCCACTTTAATGTCTGTACAATTTTGGCCACTAAGGCATGTTTCTTTAGTGGGATGATAAACAAATCCGATATGCTTAAGTAGAAGAGATTCCCTATCAGGTGCAAGTTTCTGTAAAGCTTTATATCTAGGTTCTTCACTCAGAACTGTATGAATTTCGCTCATTTTATCTGAACTTGGTGTTGCGTTAAGATCTAAATCATAAAAAAGTTCAGAATGCTCAAAAAGCATTTCCTGAAACTCTTCTTTGGCTTTTTCAACTATCTCTCGCTGATGCCTACCATATACCTCCTTACTATCAGTCTCAGTGATATATTTGAAGGCTTCATCCTCCATAACAAAGCACATAACTTCCTCCCATGGCTGTCCAGGTGAAATGAAATGAATTTTTTCCAAAGTCTTTTTGAATTTTTCCTTCATTTCTACTCTCCTTTTCTCTGATATTAGATGCTGTACATGGTTCTGGTAGACTTTTTCAGCTTCTAAAGTGCCTAGGAGGTCAAATGGGATTCGTCTATCATTAATTTTGTCTATATGGTCAGTTTCATCCCAAGGTGTTTTTTCTAGCACCACAAAACATAACTGGAAATCTGTTCTCTTCTCCATTAACTTCAAAGCTTCTGACCAGTTCATATGTTCAATCTCTTCTAGATTTGGCAAAAGAGTGTTAAAAGCTCTTGGTAAGGTACTTATATATTCTTCTCTCCTTTTTCTTATATGTTCCTGTTTAAGTTGTTCTATGTGTTTTGAGAATGTATTTCTGGCCTTTCTTGTTCCCTCTAAGTTGATGTACTCTTCATAATCAGGATGATTTTTTAATTTGTTACTAACAGTTTTCCAAGTTGCATGATAATCTCTCACAGTCTGCACAAGTTTTTCAAACTTATCTGTTGCTGTGACAACAAGTTGTCTCTGTGTTTTATAAGCATCCAGATAGGGAATAATTTTAGGCTTGCCACGAGTTTTATCCAACATTTGTACTAGTGCAGTGAAACATGTCTCAATGTTGACATTAAATCGTGCTGATGTTTCTACTACAAGAAGGTTCTTTTTGTTTGAAGCAAATGCCTGAACTTCTCTAAGATAATGATCCACGCATTCATCACATTTAGTTGCTGCTATTATTACAGGTTTTTTTGATTTCGACAGCTGGACATAAAGGTTGTTCACAAATTTAAGTTGATCATCAAATTTCCTATTGCATCCCTGACTTACATCAATGCACAATAAAAATCCATCTACATTGAGCTTCCCTTCAGGCATCTGCTTCTGCTCAAAGTCTTGCTCTAAGCCTAGTTGATCAGTGCAAATGTACATTAGTTTTTCCGCTGACTGCAATTTGGAGGCAGCTGCACGTTTTATATATGGTTGCAAATTCGTACTCCGATGAGGCAAGAAAGTCTGGTCATCAATGAACTCTGTTTGTTCAATGACATGAATTTTGCATTCTACTCCATCTTCACCATTTTGTGTTATGTCACCCCAGTATAAAAAGTGATCATTGTTTACTACTCGTCCTCCAAAGTCAATGGTGCTAAGCACAGAAGTATGCTCTGGATAATACTCATCTGCTTTTGAGCGTACAAATCTATTGCACAAACAAGACTTTCCAACTCCACAGTTACCTTTGTCTTTTTCAGTCCCAGAGAGTCCAACTACACTGATAGTATAGGATGGGGGACGAGGCTCTTTGTTTTTTGCCATCATAACCGTTTTCTCATGTCTCTACATTCATAAAGGTAACCATGTATACTTCTCATTCTGAAAATATCATCTCAAAATACAGGTCCCAAATTTCAGAATTGTATTTGATTCTTTGTATTTCCCTCATTTCTGCGCAAAGGTCTTCAAGGTCATATGGATCATCTTCCTAGAAAGAGGGAGGAAAAGGACAAATCTTAATCATGAATTATTCAGACTGAATTACCATATTAAAGATGTTCATAAAAGCACTATGCAAGTTAATAATAATCCTAGTTATAAGGTTACATGTATTTTAAGATACCACAACATAAACAGTTGACTCACTATTAACGCAAAATGCTCTCAAATTTTAAGACAAACCTGACAATAAAATAATCAAATACAAAAACCTAACATCATATTTCACTCTAAAATGCCTACTAGCCAAATGTGCGCTTTGCCACCAATTACTCTTTGTGAATTTGAAATAAACTAGTCCTTTCCACTCCCTTAATTTTCCTGCCTTCTGCAAGACTATGTTGGTAATAACTAAAATGCACTGGTTATTTTAGCAACTCCTTTGTGACTTTTAAAAAATACCAAAAATCTTTCTATTACAGATTTCCTCAAAATTTATTCCCAGGCTAGGGTTGTAGCTCAGTGATAGAGTGCTTGCCTAGCATGCAAGGCACTGGGTTCAATCCTCAGCACTATGTAAAAATGAATAAAAGTTCATATGAATTTAACAAGATTTCAGAATCTAAATTTTTCAGGAAGTTTCAACTTCTATGGAATCTATCAAATTTTATGCCCCAAATTAAGAATATTCAAATATTTAGTGGGGCACAATGGCACATACCTGTAATCCCAGGGGCTCAGGAGGCTGAGACAGGAGGATCTCAAAATTAAAGCTAGCCTCAGCAACTTAGTGAGGTCCTAAGCAACTCAGAGATATCATGTCTCTAAATAAAATTGGCTGGGAATATGGCTCAGTGCTAAAGTGCCCCTGGGTTCAATCCCTGGTACCAACCAACAAACAAACAAATATATAAAATACTGAAAGAAGGGAATTGAAATAAATGGAGAGGTGAAAGTATAGCTCAGTAGTATGAATTTCACCCCCAGCAAGAAAGAAAAAAGAGGGAAGAAGGGAGAAACGGAAAAAAAAAGGAGGAGGGAGCAGGGGTTGTGGCTCAGTGGTAGAGTGCTCGCCTAGCATACATGAGGCACTGAGTTTGATCCTCAGCACCACATAAAAACAAAATAATGTGTCCACCTAAAACTAAAAAAATACATAAATAAATATTAAAAAAAAGAAAGAGGAGGTCAATGGGTAATATACATAACGACAGCAGTTAAGTAGATTGGTGTTTTTCAAACTCTAAGATGGAAGAGATCTTTATTTTCATATGGATAAGTCCAATTGTAAAATAAATTTTTTTTAAAAACCAAGCATTTTAATTAGATTTAAGGTATATAAAATTATTGTCAAACTGTTTCTAAATGTTCTTGATTTCTGTATTTTCTTTCAGAGTAATCAATAGCTTTAAGACCATATTCTGAGTAGTACCAAGCTAAATAATTTTAAGATTATATATTTGATACAATCTTTTAGAATTTTTAACATTATCAGACACATTAAGTATCCTTCCAAAAATTATGAAATTTAATTTTGGTTATATATTTACAAGTAAGCAATGAATCACTTTTAAAAACTAAGTTTTATTTGGAGAGTCTTCATATTCTTTTGAGGCTGAATTAAAAGCAATATGTCATTTCTACCACCTAAACTTTCACTAGATAGGAAAAAATATATTCAGTCATGTACATCAACATATATGAAAATTATTTACAATGCAGACCCCCCCACACAAATATAAAAAGAACACAAAATATTTTAAGGAAAGACTATTAGCTCTCCCCTTCCAAATTGCTGGCTTCTTCCCTAATCTCGATTGCAAGATAATATTTATTTTTATTATAGTGCACATTTGCTATACTAATGGTGAAACTGTCCTTATAATTTAAAGGCTTGACTAATATTTCTGGCAAAATTGTAATAATTTTAAAAATAAAACTGAAGATTATTACATTTTATAAGTTAATTCTATCAGCCTCAATTAAATTTTAACAATCAGCCATCTGATAGTAAAACAAAATGTGTATTAGGTTCACTTCTGAATAAATATTACCATATGGCAGCAACACTTGAATTATATAATGAAATACAACTTTTTATTAAAGAAACATCTAAGATATAATTCAGAGACTATATCTAAAAAGAACTCAAAGATGTTTAAGACTGTCTCTTGCCTTCCAGTTTACAAGACAGGTTAACAGAAAAATAACACCACTATGTGGTAAAGACTTGAAATATTAAAGAAATTTTTCAACTAAAATCTAATCCTTATCAAAACAGTAACATCTTTATTAATACTTCTTATATATTCTTACCTGAACACAATATAATTCTGGATACTTTTACTCATTAAAAGTTAAGACTTGGGGCTGAGGATGTAGTTCAGCTGCAGAGTGCTTGCCTAACCTGTGCAAAGCCCTGGGTTCAATACTCAGCACCACCAAAAATAAGACTCACCTCTGGTCTTTTATAGCATAAATCCCAAAATACTGAAATATACTTTATTGCTTTAGAAAGCTAAGAGTAGAAATGAAAACACTCTACCATAAAATGTATTATTAAAGTTTCTGAGTTTCAAAAAGGGTTTTAAAATTATAAAAATGAAGATCAAGTGGAGACATGGAAATCTTTTTTTGTTGTTGATGGACAAACATCATTTATTTATTGATTGATTTGTGGTGCTGAGAATTAAACTCAGTGCCTCATACCTGCTAGGAAAGTGCTCTACCACTGAGCTACAACCCCAGCTCGAGACATTAACTCTTCACCCTGTCATTGGTCACTGAAAACTGGAAGGCTTTTTATCTAAGAGACAAACTCCTATTATATTGAAGTTAAATTTTAATACTAAGGCTTCAACTCATCCTAATTAACACGACAGTAGCAATCCACCAATCATGAATATTAAAGTTCAAATAAAAAATAAGTTAGTTTTCTGGTTTTCATACCAATTCACAACTATCTGTCAATTAGACACAGTGAACACCAAAGTCCTTTTTTAAAAAAAAAAAACAACACTGCCAGACAAGCTGCTTGCTGGTATTTTGAAGTCAATCCCAGAGCTTATGACATGAATTACCACACAGTAATTTTTATAAAAATTATGGTAGAAAAAATCCTTTCACCTAGAGTTAGGAAAGATGAATGTTGGGCAAATAGTTGCCTTTTCTTTTCAATTATGACTAGTGTCATCTTTGCCTAATTTACAGGTTTGACTCAGAAGATTTAGTTTGAAGTGTTTCAAAGTTAAAAAACAAAAGTTTGAGAAACCTTAGACTAGAAAAAATTGTTGCTGCACTGACCTCAAAAGGATTTTGCTAGGTTTTTACTATGGTTAAGTGATATAATAAACTTTAAAGGATAAAGTTAGATCTCATGAAGTTGGCCCTAAAAGGTTTATAAGAGAATTTCATTTCAGATACTGGGATAGTTATATTATTAATTATCCACTGGCTTCTAATATCAAAACTGTACTCCATTAACTAACCAAAGTAGTTTTATTTTTAATTTCAGTGCTAAGAATAAAAAAATTCCCTTCTGTCTTTTATGTTCCCATTAATAAACCAATGACTACTATCTTCAACTGTATATAGGTTAAGATAAAAAAGTATCTTTCAAATATGATCACTTTTAGTATCCAACTGTGTCAACTATGCATATCTTCTCTTTTTTTGATGTAATTTTGCTTTTGTATACAGTACCTTGGTTTCGTAACTTCTAACAGCATGTTTACTTTTACTGATGAAAAAAACCAAGATAAAAGTAGCAATGACCTACACGATACTATAATATTTGGTAGAATCAAAGCCTCTTCATGCCCAATCTTAGTACTGCTTTTAATAGTATACAGTCTTTCATTTTGCCTTTAAGATGACCTTAGAAACTTGTTTTATTTCAAGGAAATATTTCAATAATTATCTTAACAGAAATTAATGACAATGCATTATATACATGAAACTCTTATAATTATCTATCAAAATGAAGCCATTTCTACAATAGGCCATTCAAACATTACATGCTCCCTTTAATGCAATTTTTCTGACATGTAGTGGCTTTTTGCAAATTAAAAGAAAAAAAAGTTACACAAGAACTCTCAAAGTGGAAAAAATATTTTTTAATAATTCAGGACTTAAACCAAAACATTTTTAGAAAGCAGAATAGTAGTTACCAGAGTTTTAGAAGGGTATGGGAAGAGGGATGAAAGGGATGGTTTATGGGTATAGGGGTATAGATAGGAGGAATAATGTCTAATGATTGTTCTATGGCATACATAGAACATACAACCATAGATTATGGTTGACAATAGTGATTTCAAAATAGCTAGCAGAGATGATTTTAAAAGTTCCTGACACACACAAAAAAATGATACATGGCCGCAAAAAGAGATGTCAATCATCCTGATTTGATCATTCATTACACACTGCATACATGTATTGAAACGCTATGCTATACCCCATAGATACGATTACCATGTATCAATTAAAATATAAAATTAAATTTCAAAGAATTAGTTTAAAAAAATAAAACTGTTCTATGTCTTTTTACAAAACTGTCACATTCATTAATAAAAGGTGCAATTTAGCTGGGCGCAGTGATGCACACCTATAATCCCACAGGCTCGGAAGGCTGAGGCAGGTGGATCAAGAGTTCAAAATCAGTCTTAGCAACTTAGCAAGAAACTTAGCAACTCAAGTGAGACCTGTCTCTAAAGAAATATTTAAAAAGGGCTGGGGATGTTGCTCAGTAGTTAAGCAGCCCTGTGTTCAATCCTTAGTACCAAAATAAAATAAAGTAAAATTAAAAAGGTGCAATTTAAAAAAAGTATGCTTTTAAATTGCTATGCTATGTCAGGCAATTCCTATTGGCCCTATCTTCAAAATACATTCATAACTTACCTATTTCTGATAACTTTATTATTATAACCTCATCCTACCTTCCCTCATCTCTGGCCCAAGCTTACTTAAAAGTCTGTACTAGATCAATTTCCCTGATTCACTCCTATCTCCCCCTCCTCCTACAATCTATTTATATCCATGCAGTTGGAGTAT